AACAGTTTCCTGAGTTATGTGTAGGTTTTGTAAAGGCCTCGTCGTGGGAGCAGGAGAGAACTAAGTGTGTGAGAAGCGGGAGGGAACGACGTGTTTTTCTTGGGGCGACCAGGGTGAGACAAAAAGGAAATGGGATTCCATTGGATTTTAGATTAATGATACTTAATGATACTTTAATGATACCCATTTTGCGCAGCAGAAGAATATATGTAGTTTACGGAGTTTAAATACAATCGGCAGAAGAAAAAAGCTTGAGGGTACAAACTTCACCACGGTTGCATGACTTCACGTCGTCAGCACCAAGTTAAATTAGAACTAGTTTTAGCATAACATTAACATTTCCTAGAGACCTTTAAGAAATCTATCAAACGGCCATAAAAAAACATTAAACTTGAAAATAAGGGAACCAGAAGAGCAAAAACTATTTCTAGGTGTAATGCTATAAAAATGTAAAACAATGCTATGTATGATATCGGACTGGTATCTGCAGGAGGATGTAAGCAAAGAATACAAAAGATAGAAAATATTTCTATAGATCCATAAAGATAGAATCTTTAGTTTTCAAAGTTTTTTCTTTGTCTAACAATTTCTGTAAACCGTACACATAATGCACACATCCCTCTCATCCATCAATGTAATGTCACATATAAATCACTGGTTACAGAATATTAGATTCATACAGTGTGTGACACGTTAAGAGTGTGGTGGTGATACGTGTATTCGTGTGTGGAATCCAATTACATTTCTTTGTAAGTGTTAACCCTCAGCGAAAAGACGGTTAACACAAAAACCATCATCAACCTCCTTCCATGACGAACAGCGCCATTGGTTTGACGTATTATCTGGCCCTATTCCCTTCTCATTACTGCCATAAACAACAATGCAAGGACATTCCCCAGCAAATACTCCATAAACATAACGGCCTTCAATCAACTGATTGTGACCTTCACACAAGACAACTGTTCAAACCCTGGAATGATCTATTTTACAAGGGGAAATCCATCCAAATGTCAAAACAATACTTTCAACAAAGAAAATTCTATTTCCCTTCCGGTACTGTATATTTCAACAGTTTATGAAGCAAAATGAAGTTTATAAACGGTGTGCTACTTTTCCAGCACTAGTCCATTGCTAGAAACTGACGTGAGAGTAGAAGGTGGAGATGGGGAAGGTTACAGATGTAGAGCAGGTCTAATAAGGCTACGCTGGCCCACTGGGATACCAGCGACCGACCAGTACACAGAAATAGAAATGGGAGCAGAGGAGAGAGAGAGACGAAGGGAAGAGAATTAAGGTGTGGTGATAACGGGGAGAGATGACGGGCAGGTGGAGCGATTGATGAGGAGGAGGAGGTCTAAAGGGGACAAGAAGAAGAAGGAAGGGAAGAAATAAGATAATTTAAGTGAAAAGTTATCCAGTACTGTTGGGAAGTGGTAACCCATATTTTTCTATATGCCCTTTTGAAGTCTTCTTTTGCAGGAGCGGTTTGCAAATCAAATACCATTTTTGCGCCGTTCAATGAGAAGATTATTGCCAAGACATGAATAGCAGATGCAGCAGAATTCTGAATGCGTTGCAGAATGTTTCTATTGGGAGCAAAACATCCAACTGATAAAAAATTGAATGTGAAAATTAACGGATTTATGCTGCAGAATGTTTTTTGATTTCTACAAAAGCGTTTTCATTTAATTGAAGAGAGTTGAGGCAGCATGTGTGGTACCAGAAATGCATCATTTTCACAAGTTAACTTTTGTCCATTTTATGTGAGCCGCCTTTTCAAAGACCCAGATCCTTTCTTACAAAGCTCATATTTTCAACTGATTATTTAACTCTGACAGTTTTTATGCCCATCGAAGCCTCAACAAAGCCTGCAATTTCTCTACATAGAAAATGTGTGATACTCCCCGAGCATAAATATGCATGCCTGAAATAACTTTACAATCTATCGAGTGAGGTGGTGGACGAGAAGAAAGATGAATAATGGAGAACTTTTTCATCCATGGTACTGATTAGATGTACACCGCAAGGGAATACATATTGAACATTTGGTCGGTTGAAATATAGTTTTGTTGTGATTGAAATATTGGCAAGCATAGCGAATGGACTTAATCATAACCGGCAGTTGTAAAAGTTTCTGGAGGTTGGGGGGAGGGGACGTAGAGGGAGATTTGTCGTTGGGGGGGGGAAAGTATGTCCCGTTCAGGGGGGGGGGGGGGGGGGTGAAGAGAAGATACAGGTAGTCAGAAGACTGGAATGGGAAGTGGGAATATTTTAGTGGCAATGAGAAATATGACCTGAAATATGGGTGAGTATACAACATCGAGTTTTTGGGGTGGGTTGGTTGTAAATAAAATAGCTCATTCCCAGGCGGGTTACTAGATAAGATAAATGAGGAAGAAATTGAGATGAAAGAACATTAATCTCTCACCCCTCCGGGAATGATCTGCCCTCAGCACTGCACCTCCTTGCTGCCTACCTAGAGGAACCAGCCATGGTGTTGCATCTCCCCACATTTTCCAGCAGCCACACTGTCCTTTCCCCTGTCTCAGGAGAAGCAGGTCTGTTTTGGAAACTAAGCTGTAGCCTGACATCCCACCTGGCCCCTGAGTGACTCATACCGTTCACCCGGCTGGCTGCCTCAGGGAAACGCTACCTTCTTCACCCCCGCAGTCACCTATGAGGCCACAAGTAACCGCCCGCTGAGTGAAGGTAATCACAGTAGGTATGCGTGGGGTCATGAAAGCTTGAAAACGAAAAAATTGGTGAACGGGAAAATGCCTGAAGAAATGTGGAGCTTCCTAAAACATTCATCTTGTCAACAATATGTCCCCCCCCCCCCAAACTGTGGCGCTAATCTCTTTACTTTAAAGCCATCAGGTGCAGAACGTGCATTGTGTGTGGGGGCTGCTGATGCAGTCCTCACTCTATCCCATGAAGCACAAATTGGAGAGATCATCTTATTTTAAAACATCCCCTAAAATGTCCTTTTGTACGGTTCCATGTACAGTGGCAACAATGTAGCGGAAGGGTGGTGCCTGATGCGTCTAAACGCCTGTGGTGGAGAGTGCAAACCCTTTACTATCTGTACCTACAGAGCCATTATGAATTAATGCTGGATAATGGGCCAGCTATTCGTCCACTGTTCGTATCATATGAAAGAGCTGGCACGGGCTGCAGTACACGGGGCTATTAGGTCAAGCGTGCTCAAGGCCTCAGTCCGCTGGGACGCGTACACATTACACACACCACACATGACTACCGCGAGCAATGCACAATAGCTTCATGGATGATTACCGTGATCATATTTTGGAGATAACATATGTTCTGTGGAGCAAACACGCAGCACACAACATAATCATAGAAACACCCGGGATCACTAATACAAATAGTGCCACATACCATCACTCAGTTTCCAATTGGTGAATGATCCAGTGAGCGATAACGGGCTTAATCACAACAATTATTACTCAAATTGAGAGGAGCATGTGAAACATCTTGAATGTGGGCAAGATCTCAGCCACAATGTGGCAAACTTGAGGTTTTACCCATTGAGAATGGTGTAAAACAATAATACAGAAGCAGCTCAAGAGACAAAATGCATAAAATGAGCAACATGTATTTCACCGTTTGTATTTTAGCTATTAGGCACGAGGAAGAACAACACCTTTGCACTGTGAATAATGTCAGTGTGGAAGTCTCTTAAACATAAAAATGCAAATCAAAAATGCAATCAAACATTTAGTATGTATAATTTTGAATGAGTTATAACATGCTATTCTTTGTAAAGACTAGACCCTCAATGTCTGGGATGTGTGTTACATAAACAGTGGCACTGGTGAAGGGTTCAACTACTTAGTTAGTTAAGTTAATTATAACCTGTTTCAAAAATTGAGTTTAGTTACATTCATTTTAGTTTCAATGGAAGTCTGAAAGCTGTAATTCTGGAAACTTTTAGTGCAAACACACAAAAAATAGTATTGTTTGTATCCTATCCTATCCCATACAATATGGTGACGAGCAATAGGCACCACGTCCATTATTAGTGTTTTATTCTTTTCCATTATATTCGGATTTGCTCTTGAACTCTTTATTTCGTTCTCAGGACTGTATCTACGTAACTCTGCAGGTATTACCACCAGCTGACCTAGAAGTGGTGCTATTGGATGACTCGACCGGGAAACAAAATATTCTTTGGTTATCAGCCAATAAGGTTACAGGTTACCGCTGATGTCACACAGGTGACCCCGCCTGAATACTCAATGATCTCTACTTAATGGGAGGAGGGAGCTCTTAGGTGGGTATGTTCTTGTATGCTCTATATGTAGAAAAAGTCAAGAATGGGGAAGAAATTTAACAGTATATAGATTTAAAAATATCTGAATAAATATGTTTGGCATTTGAACTGTGGATATTAAATGTTCAGTGTCACCAAAGAAAATATATATAAATATATTCATCATCATTATTGGTCTATTTGGTATTTCTCTCCCATTTTTGCAGATGACACAACACATCCCACGTGGCCAGAACCTCTGCCGTGTTGCCCTAGAAACGTTCTCCTAAATAAGGCTGCAGCTGATTGGCTGACGCAGTGGGAGAATGGGAAAGGGGAGGGGATGGGGGGCATATGGGGAAGGGAGAAAGGGGGGGGTGGGGGGGGCCCTACTTTAAAAAAGATTTCTATACACGCTACAGACCGAACACTAGCAGGCTGAGAAGAATTTTCATTAGTCCTTTCAATCGAGACTCCCTCCTGTGGCTGTTGTTCTGGTAATGTGCTTCTGCATTTCACCAGGTGCTTTTTCACAAATGGTTTTCACATTGAATAAAGCAGGTCGGCCGAGTAGATAATGATGCATATTCCAACCAACAGTAAGTATTACGTAGATCTACCATCAATCGAACGAGGTCCGTCATGTGATACACAGTTGATACATAGTTGCCGCACACATGTTCAAACAGACATCCAAGCACATAGACTGAGGAGGACGGAAGCTCACCTTCTGTGGGGGAGGTTTTCAGTCGTTTGCAGAGCCCCTCTACGCCCGTGTAGTCCTCCTGGAGTTTGATCACCGCCTCTGGCCCACGCAGCTCCATCAACGAGCGGAGCTCCATGACCGAGCAGCCGAAGCTCGCCGCATGGTTCTCCTCGTTTCTTTGGTTCTTGGCATAAAAATCGCTGTTCGACATGTCCCCCATGATGACAGCTGGTCAAGTCAGTCAGATAAGTGTTTCTTATTGCTTATTGATCAATCAAAAATCTTGCACAACAGAGAGATGAGCTCAATCTCATTCCACCCCCCCCCAAAAAAAAAAAAAAATCCAAAATAGGTCTTGAGCAAGCAAAGACAACCCCCGAAAAAATAAAAAGGAAAAAGAATGCCACTGATAGGTAAAGTGGGCAGATAGATTAAAAAGGGGAGCGGGGGGGAGGGCGTCCGACGGGATCAATCGACGAGCAGCTTCTCTGCCTCAGGAGCGGCTGTCAGACATCGGCAGAACCGAAAACCATTAGAGAGAAGAAACAGAAGAGGAGAAAGACCAGCAGAGAACAAGGAGAGGAGGGCAAGACGAAGGGGGGAGCATCCAGGTGAGCTTTGGACAGCCCCAGTGGTCAGGTCCTGAGCAGGGCAATAATGGTGGTTCCAAGTCCTGTAGATCTCAGGCTCACCACGGCTGCAGTCCAGACCCGCTCCATGAGTGGCTTCCCATTGCTGCTATTCTGCTGTTGCCTCCGCTGCCTCTCTGTCTCTACATGGTGGTCCTCCCCATCACTGCTACAGATAGAGAGAGAGAGAGAGGGAGAGGGAGAGCGGGACGAATTCGAGAGAGGACTTCAAAGAAGGCAGAAGGTGAGGGAGGATGTTTGAGAATGATACAGAAAGAGAGCACAAGCAATGAGTGTGGCGTTCTCAGGGCAGGGGTGAACGCGGCGGTGGATGGTGCACGGCTGAGAGGCAGTTTCTGCCGCCTGCTGCAGTGACTGCGGCTCGGCCGTCTCTATTACTGCTGCTGCTGGCGCTACCGGTGCTGCTAACCTCATCGTGAGGACACGCCGACCGCCAGGGAGAGAATGAGGCAGAGAAGGAGAGAGAGAGAGAGAGAGAGAGAGAGGGGGGGGGGGGGGGTGCGAAAAATAAGGAGGGCGGAGAGAAGGGGGGGATGCTCCTTTCTGGTGCAGAGCGGAGAGGAGTTGTGTGCGGGCGGGAGGCTCAGGCTGCTCCGACGACAAAGCAGAGAGGAAGCACGTAACACTGCGCTGTCACAGGGAGGCTGGGCTGAGCGGACGAGCTGCTGCTGCTGTCTCACCTTTAGTCCTCCCCGGTTCTACGGTTTAAGTGGTCGAGCCTGTGCAGCGACTGCCCTGCATCAATGATTTGCCTGCAGGTCTCCCGCCCCCTGGCCTCAGGACTGCGGTCAGCTCACGGGGGGAGACTTTGTACAGAGGGAGTGTGACATGTTTACAATAATGACAAAAGTCATGGGAGTTTTTATCTTGTTAAATCTCACGAAAAGAGCAAAACATTAAATGACATGTTATTTAGCTGACGCTTTTGTGACTAACGATAAGTGCAACAGTTGACGCTACTGTTTTTGAATACTTCCCCTCTTCGCTAACCAGTCTGTGGCACCTACATCAATTATTTCCAGTGAAGATGTGAATGTAACAGAATTATACAATAAAACAGTAATTTTATCTTTCCTGTAACCGCTGGACACCATTAGTATTATTCTTTTAAGCAAGCATGTTTTTTTTGCACCAGGAAAAGAGCCCCGGTCCATTGTTGCATGTCACCCAGTGTAATGGTGGGACTATTTGTTGTTTTTTTAAAAGAGCTTAGACAATAATAGAGCACAAGAGAATAGACAGCACAAGCGATACTTGATAACGTGATCAAGCGTTGTTGAGTTTTCTCATTATTTAGCCAAATCCAAACAAACACAATACAGTGTACAAAACGCCTGGTTTTCCAATCTGCCAAGCCAACTAGAGCAGCATGGCCGGCTGCTCCATTCATTAAAAGAACTCCAAAATCATGCAATGACAGCAAAGATAATAAGAGTTTAAGTTGTATGACCATGCAGAAAAAATGTCATTAAATGCCCAGGTGATTATTAAATGATTAATGTCACAGCCGAGTGGTTTCATTGTAGAACATGTTGGCCACTGAAAGTCGGCACACTGATGCAAAGGTTGACAATGAAGGGTAGAGGGTTGCAAGATGCAGAGTACGTCCAGCCAGCCGCAGCGTGTTTGGAAGTAGCAACGGTAACCCACTTAACAGCTTCCCTGGAATCAGATAAAACTCCCAGCTACTGCTGGCATGCACAGTGACCAGTGGCAATTGTTGAGTATGATGTGGCGACACGGCGGGGATGAGCACCAGAAACAACGGTGCGTCTGGGATCGGCGTGGCAACAACCTTGGATCCTGTAGCTCCACAGGACCCAGGCCCTCGCCTCTCAAGCCTGAACTAAAGTGACAAAGTTAGAAAGCACCGGCGATGCCACTTGCACAAGGGAACCTAACAAACCAGCTAAACGTTTCTGTATAGCATTTGCAACAAGGGCAAAGGTTTGTTTCTCCCATAGAACTGACAATATTGAAAGATAAAATCTTTGACCAAGTCAGCAAGCTAAGAGGAGTGATTCCGACCACGTTGCCTATCTTTTATCTAAAGGGAATGATGGTGTAAAGAGGGGTAAGCATAAAAAAGAGGCAAAAGGTAAAATAGTAGTCTAATCCGCTACTTACGCCTGAACTGAGTGAATTCATTTCTTCCTTTTTTAAAATCATGTCGACACACACACAGACACACTAAAACTCCGAACAGAATTGATTTGTTCTTCTATTTTCTTGGAAAAGCAAAGTAGCTGTAGAGCTTCTGTTCAAATACAATCACAGATAAGAACAAGGAGTGTGTCAAAATGTTTTTTCCTCAACGTTTAAAAAGTTTGCACATCCAAGGGTAAGTAAGTTTCTTTTGCTCAAGTTTTGGGATTAAGGAGCGATTCATGATTCTTTTTTTATCAACTAGTAAAATCCTCCTGTCTCCAATATCTCCATCAATGTCTTCGTACCCGTCTGTCTGTCTGTCCCACCAATCTGTCATCCCGTTAACCCGTCTATCTGTAGCTGACTAAAACACCTCCCTGCTGTGCTTTTCTTCTGCCTACGTGCCAGTCTGTCTGCATAATTGTTGGCATGCTCCCCATGGGCTGACAGTAAGTAATGAGTAACATAAGATCAAAGACGCAAAGAAAAAGCATAGATTTTGCAATAATGAACTTTTTTTTCACCTAAAATGTGAAAATACTTAATTGGACTTTCATGAACTCAAATGAAACCACATGGAGACCGGATTAAAACCTGAAACCTCCACAGCCAGATGCCAAAACCATCTGAACACCGAACGGTAGTGTTTGCAGTGTGACTACAGACAAAACTAAGAGAGATTTGCTACAGCTGAGATACAAAAAAAGAGGCTACCAAGATAAAGAAAAAGCAGCAGCATCAAACAGTCTGCACAGCCGGACACTTGCATGTGGTAGAATTATTTCTAATTAAATAGTTTAGGTAGGTAAAGTAACTCCTTTGTCTTATTTTTATTTGACTTGAGGTTTTGACTATAACATTTTCATAATTTGATATTGCTTTATTCAGTTAGGTGGAAATGAACAGTTGGCGCAGATTAAACTAAAAGACAATGTGCTACACTCCAGTACTCTTATTTTTGCTTAACTAAATACCAAAGTTTACCGTCAAAAGAGAACCTTAAGCTGAATGCATGAAAACAAAATCATCAAGCATTCAAACACATTATAAAATAGAGGTTAGACAGGTCAACGAGGACATGTTTGTTGAGTGTGCATGCTTTTGTTTTTAAAAAGCACTTACTGAGGCTGCCGGTATATGATGCACTTAAGAAAATACAGGGCAGGCAATAAGTCTTGATGACATCATCATCCCAGTCTCCTATCCACGTCGAGGGGAAGCTTACTGAGATTCACACGTAACCCATCGATGTAAGATGGTGCATTCATCCCAGCATTTGATTACAATGTATTGTTGCTCTACAATAACTGCTGCTTCCTCTTTGATGAGAAGTTTCTGGTCTGACAGTTTGTTGTCCTCCACAGTGACAGAGGAGCAGCGCGCGTTCTCCGTGTGTCTGTCTCAAAATGTCCTTGAGCACAGTGAGGAGGAACAGAGGTGGGAGCTGTGCCCACTGCACCACCTGAAGAAGCACTGGCATGCAGCTCCCCCTGCCTGTGACAAACAATAGTGCGCCAGCATTCACTGACGATAGAGCTGCTCTGCACGCCCCTGTGGTATCCAATTATAACACGACAGGCTTACAAATGCTCGTGGGTTTGTATCATGACATGAAGATATCCATTTCAAAACCTTTTCCCAGAGCATTAAATCACTTTAACAAGGTGTTTGTGTGAGTAGGAACAAATCCCCAGTAATGACAATCAAAAGCCCAATGACAGAAATACATATAAATGCTTCCCAGTGGTAGCAATTAGAGCATATTACATAGAGAATGCTCTTATAATTGTGTTTCCACTTCTTGAACAAAGAAAACATATACAAACAGAGACACTTGCTGAGTCAGTATATTAGTTGCGCTGCTGGTGTCACAATGCAGATGGCAGCGGTCAGACGGCTTACTTTGAATTAATGACGTGTTTAAGAACATGCTTTATATGTTTCAATGCTGCTTGAGAAGTCACATTGACTCAATGAAGAAGAATAAATTAAATACTATTAAAAGTATGGAGCATTTAACTTATATTTCATAAAAACTGCAATGAATAATACCACATTTTTCAGAAATTTGGATATGCACTTCCACAACGCGTTGGGAATTCCCAAACGCATGCACGCGCACATCGGACAGCAGCTGCATTATACTGCACTGCAACATCCAATGTGTACACATCCAGAGATGTTAACTGATGTTATCTCTAAGGTGAATTGTTACATAACAACCACATGGAGAGCCTTCTCTCAGCCACCATCACTGCTCTCTAATTAGGTTGAAACCAGCTGCCCTGCTAACTAAGAACAGCCGACTGAGCCTGACGAAGAATTAAGGTTATTTTGGAAAACCAACGCAGGAGATCCAAAAGGACTGCAGCTCCGCCACGTTTCAGGCTGATGGGAATACAAAGCCGAGAGCCGAAAATGAGAGAGAGAAGAATGAGTCAGAAAAGAGAACGAGGCATGAATACACGTGTGTGTGTGTGTGTGTGTGTGTGTGTGTGTGTGTGTGAGCGAGCTTAGCCTATGTCGGCTTTTAGATAGGAGTGGGGGTTTAAGAGAAAAGCAGCTGGCCAGGCAACCCAGACGGCCTCGAGGGGCTGCTGTGTGTCACTGCTGAGCGATATTGAGACGCAAGAAAGTACGAGCCGGTGATTTGCTGAAGCGGTGAGAGGATGAGGAACTCAGCGTTATCACTCGTTTGTTCAAACGGAGAAGCAGATTATCTTTCATAAGATCAAAACGCTCTCCTGCAGAGGGCAAATAGTGCCATGGAAAATATGTCACGGCGTTCCACTGTGGGTGACTCTGTCGTCCACTCACTTTCCTTCTGTATTTCTGCAGTGTAGAGATGTCACCTCTCCTCTCCCCTCGGTGTAATTTTCCATTAACATCATCCGTTCTGTCTACAACAAGGTTGTTTTTTTTTCTTATCAATAAAGCATCTATCTATCTATCTACATGGGCAGTTCTACTCATTTTCAACGGCCATGCTGTGGGGGGGGA